GCCAGATGTCGTTAGGTAATGGTTACTGGACCTTTTTTGTACTGTGACATGCGAGAAACAACGTAAACTTTCAATTTTTCTGGAGGTCACAATCAGGTTATGCAATAACGTGTTAGACAGTGATTGGCTTTTTTTAGGCGCATTAGGTAAACAAAAAATATGCAGGGGTTGTGCTTCAGGTAGTTAACGTACACTGATGAATGCGGTGAGATAACCTAAAGTTAATCATACGGGTGGATAAGATGCAGATGAAGGAATAGAAGCTAAAACCTCTTCTAAACAGCTCTTTTCGATATTCTGAACTTTCTTTCTCAGGAATATATAACACAACGAATAATTATCGTTTTGCCGTAATTGTATTGACAGAAGCAGCAGCACTTAAACTGTTCAGTAATCATCCAGATGTATCTTTTCTCAGTATACATATATGGCTTTCTGAATAATCTTCGAATGTATTTTTGTTTGAAAATACTTACTCGGAACAATAATCTCAATTGGAACGACCGGCGCCAAAGTCATTGAAGATTTTCGCCATATTCCGATGGAAAAAAACAGGAGTTTGTGCCTGCATTTTGATGTTCATATAGCCGATATTGTGAGTCACGCACTGCAGCGAGGAACCTAATCATTTTGTCCTAAACAACGTATCATCTTTATCAAACTCTGCTGTATTTTTAATCCTAAATATTATGTCAGTTGTTTGACTAAAGAAGAAAAATTGAGCGAAGTAAAAGGTTAACACTCCAGCTAAAACGAATCAGACGTACTATACCACATTTCTATCGGTGAAAACCTTTTTTTTTTTTTTTTTATCTTTATTTCAATATAAACAGAGCTGCACCGTATAGAGATCAAAGAGTCAATATAGACCACTATGGTTATAGCATGGCGAATGATTATAGTGCACTGTCAGATATGCTACCAGCCATTGTCAATCCATGGACCATGTTTTCATACACTTCAAGCCAGCCAATGGAAGTGGCTCTCTCGTCATAAGACTTATGACACGATTTTTAATGAGTCGACGAATTCTCAGAAAAACTCGTGTCCTTCGACTCTATCGCTTCGAAAACATGTCATCTTCGTATTTTCCTGGTGACCACATGAATATTATCGCTTTTTCACGGAATGGAGCACTTTTCCCGAATCACAATTTCTAATCCTTTCGTGACGGAAGCAAAGCAACAGCCAACGATCGCTATTGTTGATCGGTATAAAATAGAAGAATTAGGTCTCCACAGTTGGCGAAGGTCAGTAACGTGTCTGATGATTTACACCTGCGTGCGGCGCGTCTGACGACAGATCCTATGCAGAAGAGAGAAATATCAGCGTGTCACAGTCCGCAGAGGCACCATTATCGGTAACAGCCGCGCTCACTCGTTTGTACCTGTCGTCGTTCGAGACGGAGTACTCGTTTATAGTTTCATCACCCCTCTATACTTTCCCCATTTCGTTTGTTGTTCGGCCATCATTTCATCAAGCACTGAGCCCTTTTGCATTTCGCTTCTCATACCCCCATCTTATTTCCAGATAACCGTCTATTAGATCGAAGTGTTCGCCCGCATAAAATCTATATTTTATGCGGTCATATTTGTCGTCTCTTAAAGCAGTGCTCAAGTAAATGGATACGAAAAGAGCGAAAATCAATAAAGGGCGACTTGTAAATCTGCCTCTATTTTTGTTTCCAGTTGTTTTTTGAAATTATGCGTACATATTGTCTAATGCGCATGCGCAACGGAGAAGGCTTACGAGAGCGGTAGCAGCAAACACAACGAGAAACAATGGTGGCAAAAATAATCATTGTAATATTAATAGTTATTCTCAACCTGCTTTCTATGTTTATGTTTTTTTTGTTTCTCATCCAGATTCAGATAGAAAATATTTCTTAGATCTTTGTAAGGTACCATAGTGCAACCATTTGAGATACAGATGTCAAACAGATTTATTTGGCAGGGATTTAAAGTTTCTGGGGAATCCGAAGCGTTAGTCATGGTAAGCATTTGTAGTCATCCAAACGTAAAATGTTTAACAAAGTCGAAAAAAGCAAAAGATAAGACTAGCGAAACTGCGATAAATAAACGGATGATCGAGAAGCTGTGTAAATATACAAGACGCTGAATACAGACAACTTCTTACGCCTTGAATACTTTAACTTGAGCTATTTGCAGATTAAACCCAATGACTTTGTTTTCTTAGGCTGAGATTCTAGCCTCACAATGTGCTGACTAAACCATCTGAAGCTCAAATATTTGACATGTTCCTCTTAGAATCGCGAGAAAAATAGCGAGGGAGGGGTCCCGCTTGTAAGATAAGGTACGAATAATTTAGTAAACATTTGTCGAATTGAATACTTATTACCTTTCCATGGATACACATTAAATCCTAAATGTTGAGTTTCAAATCCAGTGATATTATGAAGACAGTCTTGTTCGTCTAATCCGCCTGCTCTACCAGCTGGATCCTCTACAATAATATTTCTCAATTCATTTTCATCAGTTGCTATCTTCACGACTTTGTCGACTGTGGTCTTCATCTCTTTTTAATAATCTCGCACTAGTTAAACTTTATACTTATATATATCTAAAGGACGAAAACTAATAAATATCTGCTAGTGACAGTCGCATTGGTCGCCTGCTTTAAGGTGTAAAAACCAAAAATGATAAAAATTTGATAAAGTATCCATATTTCGCTTTTTAGCCGTCAGTATTCACGTAAATTCAAATGGGTTGTTTTTCTAATATCATCTCTCTGCAGTTGTCATTTACGAGTCCTCTTCCAAGAGTCAACGTTGAAAGGAGCAGATCGAGTCACGGTTGTGACATACGTGTACACACATATATGAGCTCGTTATATTCAGATCTTTGCCTCTCGCATTTATATGGCCTTTTATGTCAGGTCAATTCTGTGGGAGATTTTCGTCGAACGAAATGCTTTATGTTGTTCATTTGTTAGCACTGGCGATCTTTTACGAACCCGATCGAATTGCTCCGGATGACAGAATAAAGTCTATTGGACGGGACAACTAGATCTTGCTAATGCTCGTGTTGCAGTCATTGTTGATCTATACAGTCAGCTGCTGCATAGGGTGGAATATGGCGATTAATAGCGATATTCTGTGCAGGTAAAGCCCGCAAAAGACAATAATCTCTTCTGTTAACACATCGCTATCTACAGAAGTACTTTTACCGATGGCGTCGCTGCACGCAGACGCGTGGCGTTGCTGCAGTCGAAAAACGAAAGCAATACCGCATGAAAACGAACAGAACGTGCAAGAAAGAAAGAAAGCGAAAACGTACGAAACGACGGTAAACCGTGAGGCACGGCGACTGTCGTGGCCCACCACCACTATCAGCGCTGCGACCCGCAGCAAATCAGTTAGCTTGAATCATCAAGCCTAGACAGGAGGGACGGAATTATTTTGTTGAAGTCGTCGTTGTTTTCCAAAAAAATACCACTTTTAATGCGGCGAGCCGCTACCGGCGAAATGCAGCGCGATGAGTATCGGAAAAACAGTTTACTGAGTTGGCCAGGGCTGCATGGTACAAAGTCCGCAAGGTGAAAACATGGGCAAATAAACGTACATATACTCACGTACACAGATAGAAAAATAGATGACAACTTAAACACGGAAAGCGATTAATAAGAAGATGAGCATAACAGAAAATCGTACTTTATTCTTGTGTTTCGGGCATAAATCCAACATTTTCAGTACGAAGGCGTAACACAAAAATTGTAGACAGAAAGATTTATTTGGGTTTTACGAGTGCGCTATGGGGTGTATTCGGGTGAGGTGGGTTTGAGGTGGAGACTGTCGCCAGAACAATACTGCCCGTCGGAACCATCACTCCCGCCGTATGCGTCATCATTTCTTTTCTGTGGCAGAAAAAAACGTAGGCCCCATAAGCAAGAGCAACATGAATGAGTTGCGTAAAAGATGAGGATCCATAAATATACATATCTAGTACGAAACAGACAGATGTGCTTGTGTGTGAGCTAATTGTGAAATCTGCCACCTATTCTAACAACGTACAGGATGTGTTGTTCAGGGTGATTCTCCTTCGGATACATCTTTGCAGATGAGTATAAAAACGGCAAGTATTTTACACTACACTTTCTATATCGGGCCGACCGATCGATTGTTATTTCTTCAGCTTTAACTAATGCAATAGCTGGTAATTTTCAGTGTTCTCATTATCTATATACATCACTGAAAGAGGTCAATTAGCTAATTATGACGGCAGCTGGCGGTACTGACACAACTAGTTGGTAGCATTCAGCGCTTACGGAGTACTACAACGTTGTCCACACGGAAAGGAACAATCTGGTTATTGACGGTAGTACAGACAAACAGGCAGACGATGGAACCCCTGTTGTGGTTATGAATCAATGTGTTAATTTGATTATTTTTTTTTTTCTATTTCTATTGCCGTGACAGGACAGCTGCTTTTTCTTCGGATCCGCAAGTCTTTCCTTCTTGCGCAAGTCTTTCCTCCCGTCTAGGTATAAATGATGATAAGGTGTGATTTACGTACTATGTACATACGGTTGAGGGGTCTGTCTGTTTTAATTATAGGAACTCCTCTATACTCCGCAAATGGGCGGAAGTCACTATTGGCGTCATTATCTAGGTGTCGAAATCAGGCTTAATTGATGAACCTGCGAAGGTGTACGGTTAATATGTCAATGTAAGCAAATTTGGAAAGCGAACGACAAATCACGTTGGTTTCAATATGGAGATTTTATGGCGTTTACGTATATATGATAACATGGTGCTTTCCCAAGCGTCAGTATTTGGTCAGCATACACAGGTCGATAATATATGGACATTTACTATTCCAAATATACGCTGGAAGAATATCGAATTTTTTTAGCATGCAAGCAAGTCGTCGTTCAAGGGCTGATTATTATGCGCAAGTAATCGTGTAACAGAGATATCCATACTGAACATTGCAATATATGAGCGTTGTTGTAACTATTTCATATTGTTCATCTTTTTACAGGGCATAAGCTTCACTTGTTGCTGACAACATGCCTCCTCCCGTTGCTTCTAACGGGTCGATCAACGTTGGCGCAACAACAGCATGTATGTAAAGATGGTAGCTTTAAAAATCCTACGAAAAGAAAAAATGTGAACGTAAAACCCACTCTTGTATTGGAGAAAAATAAGCATCAAAGATAAAAACTTAGTCTAAAAACGCACAAAATTAACTGCATGTGCATCTTCCATACTCCTTTTATTAAATTCAGAGGAAATAATTGATTCTAAGCAGGAAATACTCCAGGCCAATCAAGGACGAAAAGGAAGTCTGTACTGAGCGATCCCTGAATCGGAAATAATTAATCATAAGTGGCAAGCGCGTTTCTACTTTGGCCTTTTTTGACCTAACTACAACACGTTTGTGCTGGTTTGACGTTTCCGTGCGTTGTGAAATCACGATATTGACCTGTAAGCGTTAACGTATTGATACAGTCTGATCTGATATATTCCTGAATTTCTGCATTGTCAGGGCCCAGCGCTACAGCTGCTATCAATGTATGTGCCTGTCAATATGGGCGGCGTAAAAGGTCACGTTCGATTCGAACAAAAGGATCCGCGGAATACACGAAACATAACAGTTACCGTACATCTTATGACCGCCGGCGAAGAGGCGAGACACGCGAGGTGAGGCCTGATGATAAATGCCAAGTAGAATACTCTTCATAACATGCTGCTATAGCTAGCTTCTCAATAGTTCACTGTTTTGGCAATGTAATCCATGTAGGTCAAGATGTGTAAAATATGCCATTATGTCTATGTGTTTTTATGTACTAGACGAAGTCCTCAATGGATAAGTCAGGTATCGATGTTTATAGTTAAAAACAGAGCTAAATCAGCGGCTATTATTGATATCTCAATCGGCATTTGCCACGACCAATGTCTTGTGACCGAGGTCTAGCTAATGGATAGCTCTACAAGCCTGCTCGAAATTTGCAGCTATCTGTATCATCACAATCTTCATAATGTATACTATTTTATAACGACTAAGCATATTAAGAATTGGGTGAAGCCCCATTATACATGTGACGATTTAGCAAAGCCGCTGACAAATTTCGTGTATTTTATGCATACATTACAGTATTGTTAATGTTATTTCACTGAGGTAAATAAAGGAGTATGATTAATTGTAATTTTATATAATTCATTTCAATCGTTTCAGATATTCGTGGTTTTTGCATGAGTTTCCTGTGTTTCTCGACCAGAAGCAGCCTTGCGCCACCAGCGAACTTGGACGGACGTACGTTTTTTGTCAAAGACAATAACAAATGCTATCATAGCGATTTAAAATACATAGTTACCCAGGTCAGTCGGAATAGCTGCGAGTATTTGAATAGGCGCTTACATTGAGTCCTGCCACTTGCGACTTGTGGACTGTAGGACCTAATCCTCTAAAATATAAACTACATATAGTAGAATAAAAAGTCACAAATATATATAAGAAAAATATATAGTAAAAAGGGATAATGTAAAGAGGAACGTAAATAGAACTTTTAATATAATCATATGGTAGCTTCACAGATACCGGGATACCAGGCCAGCGGCCCATTTTTTTTTAAAAGAAAGCACGCTGGAAGAAAATAACATGGCCGGTTTTATCTAAATTGTAGATCCGAGACAATTCTCTTCAACAGAAGCTTTTTTTTTGTCTTAGTGAGCAAGGTAGGTTGAGTGGCTCGTCTAATTATCATTTAAAGTTTTAATGGTTATCACATTTATTCATTGAAGCAACTGCTACTTATCAGCTTTATTCATCTGCTTGCAATTTGAATAAAATAATTTTTTATTATTAATATCAGGTAATAATTTTTCCTGTTGCTAAGATTTGAATGAGCTTGTTAGCTACATACTACGCTGCCTCTAATGGTATGGGTATGTAGTTCGGGTTAGAAGCAAACCAACGTAACGTCGATCGCCGTTGTTTGTTAAATAATTGATAGCACTTTACCATTGAGTTACCATTGTTAGTGAACGGTCTATACCAGAAGACGTGCTTAATATGTATAACAACACATATTGATACAAAAGCGCTGCGTCGATCCAGACAACGCGCAAATGTTATCAGTACCGAAATCCGTGATCGATTGTCGCGGGTGATGAATGAGGGGTCGTGCGGCTACTGTAGCTATATAATCCGATCACAACAGTTACCGATGCTGCTGATTAGTACCTGTCACAAGCGCGCAATTTCTGCCAAGTCAATCTTGTGCCTTCAGGAATATATCGTCTGTGTGTCCGAAGGCTTTTAGGACCCTTTGGGCTGCCCGTTACGGACAATTCGAAGAAGGAGACAATAAACAAGCGATATGCGCGGAGACGACAACGTCGCGTAACGTTACTATCCAGACGAGCACAGTATATTATCTCTGTACAACAGTGAGATGCACAAACTGCCTAATAGTATAGCAATCGAGAGATTATTGCGGTCGAATTTAAAGGAATGAAAACGAGAGTGAAAAAATAGAAAGGCGATTAACGCGGTCGCATTTCGGTTTCGGCGTGGGGTGCAAGTATTGCGATTAATCCACCAGATTTCTTCCAACCGCTTTTTCCAGGGGAAAAGCAGTTAAATTCAGGGGTAATACTGTATTGAGCAATGATTGACATTTCTCTATACAGAACCATGTGCACACCAAGTGACGCGAAATATTAAAGCAAATATTCGCGTAAGCTTCTGCGTTGTGGCCTGTACATGTGCAGGCCAGAGGGTGTTCCGTCTACGTAATATTTCTTGACAACTTCTAAATGGTTACGACCAGCTATTCGTTCAGAGTTCCCAATATATTAATATGTATATCGTATGCACACACGCGGTGTTGACCAGGTGCTCCAACTTTATTAACAAAAATATATCAAAAAAAGGTAGGGCACAGAATGCGAGCACAGTCATTGCAATATATTCTGTCAGCATAACTTTTTGACATGAGATTCAGTTCTAGAAAAGATGTAATTAAGCACTTTTAGGATACCATCGCAATAGCTAATTCAGCATCCCGTCGGTGTTGTGTCACACTAAATTCGTACAGCTCATCTGTTTGGAAGCTACACACTTTTCAAGTTACTTACATTTTTTTTTGTAAAAAGCGACTGCACTACGGCGTCGTGTCAGAGATAACTGAACTATTATTACCATTATAGTTATTAATTGTCTGTATGATTTGATTGCCTCTAGGCGGCATGACCTCGGTCGGCGTCATGGCATCTTGGACGTAGGACCTCCAAACAACATGTCTGAGGTGGTCTTTTACGATCAGGACATCGAGCTAGAAGGACCAAATTCAATTTGGGGAAGGGCTCTACTGCTTCGAGCTACAGATTCGTCCCAGGTAACTGCAAGAAGAATCAGAAACTCAATCTCATTATGAGCGCACGACTACATCTTGCCAGCAATACAGAGTTATTGGATAAATTAACTCTCAATGACCTTTAGACATAGCTTTGATCGTCCAGCTAATCAGTTTTAAAATGAGCTCATTTCGATTGAACCTATCTATTTTCTTATCAGAGGGACCTGCGGGCTTGCGGCAATGTACAAGATGATTCGGGCATTCGAACTGCGGAGGCTGTCTTCCACACGCCCGTAGCTGGTAAGCAATCGATTACGTTACTACGAAATGGGTCGGAATATACGTGTAATGAGGTGTCTATCTACCACCGGAATAAACTTGCGCTAGCGGCGACATGCCGTACGATGTAAGCGAAATGTGGGCCTATGAACTATCAGTTGCTTATTAAAATTGTCATTAATGTTACACTTTAACTCTGAAAATGGTTGAGCCCAACCATCTTAAAGGAGCCGACATTGGCCCCATTCGAGGTTAAAATAAATTCGAAATTGACGGGATTACAAGAGACTACTAGAATTTTTAAACGTAAAGTTACAGTCGTCTTCTTAGATTTCATTATGACCTAACCTCTAGCTCAAAAACACGGAGCGTCTATATGATTTTTGTTTATGGCTGCTATTATACTTTTCGCCACTCTATTGACAACTATAATATATTAGAATTGCTTTGAACGTGTCACGGACAAGTGTTTACCTTGGCAGGGCAAAAAACGCCAAAGAAAAAACATCTGTTAACGTTTGAAAAACTTTTAGTCGAACTTCTCAAGTTCCAATTCTATGAGGCACATACAAATTGACGCTGCCTTATGTTTGGAATTTGTCAATAAAGTTATTATTATTATTAGAAGGAAAGAGCCTTCTTTTACAGTAAACGATAGATTCCAGTGATTGGTAATTTAACTTTTTTGAGAACTGTCCGTTGTGATACTAACTTTGGTGTATTTTTACCTATTCTTCAATTGGATGCCGTTTACCCTACTGCTTTCTCTTTTAGCTGAGAATCACATGTAGCAGATTCAACGGCAGTACGATTTTTGTATGATCACTGTCTATCCAAACCAATTGGTCTAGCTATGTCCCTTCGGTCCGGTCGACTTTCAACCTATTACTAGAACGCGTGGTGCGTAAATTTTTTTTAAATATCCTATGCAAGTTTATCTAGATAGACTGGACTTTGAGCATAGATTTTATTTCATTACAAATTAACGTGCAAAAATCCCCCTCACTAAGCTAACTGACACGAACACCTGTAAGAGATTTATACTAAGACTGTAATGTCGAGATAATTTGGCCGTTAGCAAAAAATATTACTTGTCAAATAGAGCCTTATATTTCAAGGGAAAAAGACCACTTTTAATTAAACATTTAGCGGCGTCATTTTTTCCGGGATAATTTTCTATTGATAAATCCGTATAGTTCTTATTTATAGCGGCAATTTTTCTCGATCGCCGCTTTCATTTCAGCAAACATGTACCGTAAAATAGGAACGTAGTACTGCGTTATAGGTAACCTTCAGTTCCTCTCTAGCTCACTGCGAATCATGCTAATTTAAAGTCGACTTTTGTATAGTTACCTCACGCGTAAAACGTTCGTGATTGATGCAAGTCAATGTACACTGTTCAAAGAGTTGCTATCTAGATAACCTACAAATATTATTAATTTATTTATAAGAAAGCAATGATTATCAATCACATCGGTTCAAATAAGTAAATATCTCAAACAAAAAGTAAATGACAACCAACTATCGCTTTACATGCTCACTTCTACTAAGCTCGTCCCGACCGCCCTAAGCTGAGGTTGGTAGATAGAAAGCAAAATCATCAATATCAATCTCGTGGTCGATCATTTTCAAAGAGGTTAGATAACAGAGACTGTCACAGCGACCGCGTCAGAAGGAGCCGATAGGCGGCGGCAGTACAGCCATTATTGTAACTATGAGCAGATAGAACGGCGTAATCGTTACCAGGCAAGAGATGGCCAAAGGGCAATAAGGAGTCATTGTAATAATTGATTTGCTTGCGTTATTTAAAGTATATAGATAAACAAATACATTATCATGTGTGCAAAAGGTCATGTGATTATATAGCGAATAAGGGAACTTGCTAAATAGACAAACATGTAAAATGAAAACGGGATAGATTGAAATATTATAGAAAATATTGGCGGAATTTAATTATGCACGTTTCCAGCAAGCGGGTTCGTATATACTGTCTCCGACGTTGACCTAAGCAAAATTTTGAACGCTATAATTTTTTACAAATACTATCTAATGATCGTAGGCATTTTCCCTTTAATTTTAACACCTCACTAAGTAACAGTAATCTCGAATTCTAGTAGTCCATAGAATATAGTACATAGAATAGAAACATAAAGACATATAATAACATCCTGCCTACATAAATACCATAGAGCGTTAGATGATAATACTAGAACATTTGTTGAGACCTGGCTCTGAGTTGGTCGATTTTTTCGACTCTGGGAAAAATGGTTCAAGTGCGATCTTGAATCGAAGTTACGGAACTTCTCAAAAGTCAAACATGCTATCCCCATTGATTGTTTTGCCATTACACTGAAGGGTATTGCTTCATCATTTGGTTCTTAGGAGTTTTGACGCGATTATTTCGGCTGGGTCATTTTTTTCTTTATCAAATATCATTATGGTCGATAGTGCCAGCAGAAATATGTAAGAATTTGACGATGTATAATAAGTAAAATAAAATTAGCTGTTGGTTTTCTGCGAAGCAGTGTCATTGCGGTTGTAGGAGCGATTTGATTTTTATCACTTTTTAGCGATCCGTATTTGATACCTGTCTAATATGGCAAAAATGAGTCATTAGTAAATATCATCGTAGCGGTCAACTATCATTGGAATAAGAGCCTTATTATCTCGCCTGATGTAACAGCCTCTGCAAGTGTTTCCGTTTACTCCTTGGATCGGACGAGAAATGCTCCAATGTTTTTTGATCTCATGTAGTAAGATGTGTGTTGTGTTCCACTGCGCGTAGTTTCAGTTCATCAAACTATTGCTTAATAATGACACGAGTGAGAATGTTGGCGACGTTTCAACATCTTAGTAATAATAATTCGATAGCTGACGCCCATTAACGTCTATCAACTATTTCAGTCAAAAGAAATAAATTGAGTTCTGTCAATGACGAGATGCTCATTGTTTGTTTCCGTCGTTTCTGAGTTCTTTTTATATTTGGGATACAACACTTAGAATACTGATTCTCTCGTTCCGCCCGCATATGGCTCGCAATTTGGTTTACTAGAATCTAGCTGTGAGCGGTGTGAAAAAAAAAAAAAAAGACTTCTTTTTAATAACTGATCCTCAAGGCTCGACTGTCAAAATATAATATTCTTCTAAGAGAAATTGAAGTTCTAAAAACAACTCAGGCACGGGTGTTCACTGATTTCATCCACCCTGCATGAGGTATGCGCTTCAACACCGAACGATAATAAACAACGTTATTAGTGCCGGTATTGAAATAAAAGGAATATCCGTATACTGTCGTTTACCAATAATTTTCTTATAAGATCCTTTTATGCATTTTAGGTCAAGTCGTGTTTAGACAGTCGGAACAGACTAGCGGTATAACGACCATCTTCACAAATCTTTTTCATACCGGAGATGATTATATGCCTGCTGGAAGGTAAGCTAGGCTGCCTTATTAACGTTGTTTTTTATTAGTATTTTCTTGTCTATTTATCTGAAGGATTCGAACCTAGCCATGGCCTCAGATATTGATTTTATCCTTCGTTTGGAATAGGGAATAGGATCTATAGAATCTCATTCCCTAGTATAGAGCTGACGAGCGCCGCCGAAGAGTTTGGATTTTGTAATGGTTGGCGTTTCTATAATCTGTTGTCATTTGCTTCGATAACAATTACCCGCTTGCTTTTAGCGCAGTAGATGCGGAGGACGCAATTTGACGTGGACGCTCATTGTAATAATGCTTTGGTTATGCATCCTCTGATGATGTACCTTCTCAAAGAAAAATGGCTTAACTTCTATAAAACATTATAGTCACGACAAAAGCTTTCAACGCTTTTCTACCTAGTTTATTTATTATCTGAGTAACCACGACTATGTCGATAACGATTCTATTCGGTAACTTATTCTTTCTGCCCTGGACCATTGGTTACTAGTAGATAAAGCAACCGATAGAGACGAGAATAAGCAACTGTTTTGATGTACTCAGATACGATTGGCGCATTTTGATCTCGGATATTTTGGACACTGACGCTTCCAAACGCTCGGAAAAGCGTTGCGATTTTCTACAGATCGTCTTCGATCCCGAAAATCGTGCCCAACAATTCGGTGAGGAAGCGTGCACTACCAAAGAGCATTCGAAGTGCCGCATGGGCGATATGGTCCGCAAGCATGGAGAGATTACGGTCGCGCCAACCAATTCAAGGTAGGTCATGATCTAGCAATGATTTCATGTTTTGAACGTAAACAATAGGCGTAACTCCTTTCGATCGTACTGAAAGTTCGTGTGTCATCAATAATAGCGGCTATTCCTACGAACGCTACAAATCAGCAGGAACGAATTACAGCAGCCGCTTAATCCGCGTATAAATGTAAAGTCTAAACAATGTGCATATGTAGAAATGGCTTCACATACGTGAAGATAGATGTTCTTAACCGATATTGTGCATTCCTATAGTTGCATCCACATGACGAAATCGATTCAGGATTTCAGGACACTTGAAAGAGATCAGTGGGAATAAAAATATCCGAAATATAATCCGAAGGTTTTCGGTAAGAATTAAGGTTGAAAATGTTTGTCAGTGCCAATTCTTCCCACGTCTATTGTTCTCTTCTGTTCCTATCAAAATGTGCAATGCAAGTGATGAATTGTATTAAGTTTCCGTATTGACATGATATATTTACCTAAATAAATATAGGAAGATTATCGGCAGATCTGGACGTGTTGGAATACGCATGCTCAGATCTATGTCGCAATCGTATTGCCCTAGAGATAAAAAAATGAAAGACTAACATTATTGAAAGGAATAGCATTAATACTTTACCAAGTTGACACATATCAAATTTCACATATGTTTGAGTAAAAGAAGCAATTTTGATACATATAATTTTAAACTGAGCATTTTTCTCCGAAAAAAATATTTTTCTTACCAATCGAAGTTTTACTCCCTTTCTCGCGTTGCGTCCGGTAATTCAATCGAGGGTTTTTCTCCAATATATGTCACAGAATGTCTTATATACTCTTATATATCTAGTCGTATGCCGACGGATTGGACAAGCAGGTCTCTGGCTGAAAGAGATCTGGGGTCACTCCTCGAGGTCTCTCGTTAATGGCACGTGCTGCACGACCAATGTAGATAGAGGAAGTTTTTGTTTTGTCCCTTTTTGTGCAATCTGGGTATCTAAACATGTTCTGTGTATGTTTACTGTTGCCAGTACTCAAACTACCATCAGAAAAGGAAGGAAATGCATGCTGGTGTCTGGGTAGTTCCAATAGCATCTCTGTTGCAGTGTCTTCAACTCGTCTTTCAAACAAACTACCCCGTCTAGTCAAGGAGAATCCTACAACAATTTGAGCTGATAGCAATGTCTGACCGTATACTATTCACGTCGGTGAACGTCTTCTAGCTGGTTGATTGGCTGAACGTTGAGGCGCAGACCGAACCGGACTCGTTAGCTGCATCAACAATGAGACATTAAGCGAACTTATATTAGCAAAATGACTGCCGTGACAGGATCAAAAATCATTCGAACTTTATCACTATGTGTCACAATGTGGCCAAGCGTGCTTAAGATGCTTTCGTTCAATTTCGACTAATGTATTGTGACACTGTCTGCCGTCTACAGCTACAGAGGGTCACACCGGCGCTTACGGCGATGAGGATGATCATAATGAACTGGTAATGGCAGTCGTGATGACGCTCCTGAATAACTCCCCTCAGCGCGTTAAAGAATGAAAAACAAGACACCGAAAAAGAAATATAGATAATGCATAAAACGGTATGAAACAGTAATTGGAAAGATGACGACGTTGATGAATAGTACCTGTCAAAACGTGAAGTAACGCTGTCGTTTGTATCTGCTATTGATATTATATAAGATATAAGCTCCTATGTAGCTGACCATATTCACAGTCTGTGCTGTCATAAACGCATTATGTCTATGTGGAGTTGACGATTTCGGTGCTCGGACGCTTGATGAGGGCGCACTTACTCCAAGAGCGTCGCGACCGCACTGATGACTGCATAGGACTGATAGAAGCAGTAAGACGTAAGGCGACGTCGAGTGTGCCGAAAAAAAAATTTACTATTCACTGGTACTCGAATATGCTGCAGATCATTTATTGATTCGTTTTAGACTCAAATACGTAGGCCTCTCCTATACGGCTCTTAAATGCCTTCCATATTCAAGGAGTTAACGGACAACGACACTCAAACGAAAGAGGTCGATACACGAAGATTTTAGAAGAAAAAAAAATGTATCCATTGCTCTTTTTATGAGGATAGCGTAGTGAAAATGAAGAATCACAAGGGTTTGTGAGCGGCAAAAAAAGTATCGTCGAAAGCAGTTAAGCGCAGGGATCGTATCGTTATCATCCTTATTATGCTGTTGCAAAAGCCGTTAGAGACTGTGATAATTGTACGGCGGTAGAGTAAACATTGTTATGTCAGGCTTTAATTAGTTAAGACCTGAGGATCGCGGCTTCTCCAAGTCTCACTACCACACAAAGTTTATGAAAGAGAGTATTTGTGTTAGCTTAGCTTAGATAATACCTAGCAAGGTATTATGTAATGCGCAGTGTTTAACAGAGTAAATGACGTAATTAGTAAGGGCCTTCGTTAAATAATAAATGAAAAAACCGCTGGTACCTCAACGATTTTGCTCCAATGATTTCCACTAAATGTTATAATAATAATATTGAAACTATACACAACACTCTAAGGGCTTACGATATGCAATATTCTTAGATCATGTAGGCTAAGACGTTTGTTAGCTTGTTTAAGTGATCCGGACGAATAGAGGAAAAACAAATCAAAGCCTACCATTGTTGAATTTTGCTCAATTAACGCACAAGAGATATTGAAACGCCTCATAGAATCATTTTAAGGCCCGCATCCTAAATGTCGACACTTTTTGCCTTTTCCTTTCTAATTCGCATAAAGAACAAGTTCGGATTCTTTCTGTTTCTTTTTTTTTTCACAACTGTCGCCAGATCTAATGCCGACACCTCCGACGGCGACAACGTCGACGAGTGCAGACCGCACTTGTCGACGTTGTCGTCGTCGTTTAAATATATTTAAATATATAAGGTTTAGACGAGAAGTTGGCCTTTACGCAGTACCTTGCATTTGTCCTGGTTCGTCTTCGACACGGCACTAATTTCAGCAGAAAATAGACGATCATTTCGCCACAAAATGAAATATCGGACATACTCCACGTCGGTCAGATGCTCCTGGATTGGTAGCGTGCTTGCACCAATTGGAAAACGCAACAGTAATAAAATTGTATTTCTCCTTTAAAGGGTGTCATCCAGAGTGGAAGCCGTGACAAAAGTAGAGATAGAATAATGAATATCTAGCCCAGTTAAAAAAAAAATGAATATCACACATAATCATTTTAATACGATCTGGTATAATTGATAATAGCTTTACTCCAGGTTGTTTCAAATGTTGCAGGTATTAGAAATGTTTCTTATTTAATAATGGTAATAATATATGTAACGTAATGATTCTACAATATATTAGCTCAATAGTGATAAAGTTTGTGCGTTCATTTCGCTACGAGTTTTTTTGTGACAGTTCCAACTAGACATCGTGTGGACAATGTGCAACTGTCAGCCTCCGCTGTATCATAGTGACCCACAGGTCGAAAAACTGACTCTTTGAAAAGATCTACCGACCTACAATCACCACCAACGAAAATCCGATACACTTTAAGAGAAAAAGCAATTAGTACGGATTACAGGTCTCGCTTGTTTGGTTATGAAAGCAAAAAATTCGGGTGCATGTTACTTAAAGTACCGCCTTGAGGGTTGAGCTGAAGATTTTTTGCCGTTAGGAAAAAGGGAGAAGTTTATATTTAGGTGACGCTTAATTGTTGGAGTTGTATTTGCAAATATACGTCATCTTATTTCTTCATATTATTCAGGTATTCGAAAAAACTCTACATCGACACAAGTCTCGCGCTTAGTCACCTTGATGGTTACCGTTCTATGTATCTTGCCGTGTACGAAAAAGCAAACCCATTTCGTATCATGGCCTGTTCCAAAATATCCCTCGTCAGCCCACGCAAGGTATGTCCATTCACTTCAAATTTATTTCAGTAGTGCATGATACGTTACATTTGATTTTTTTTTGTTATTTATTTCAATTAAAAAAAAATCAAACGTGCAGATACTAGGCACCGATTAAGTTCAGCTTTCTTTCAAAACCTATCAGGGATGCGCAATCATTGTTTTTTTTTCGTATCATTTCATTCATATTCTTTTTGAACATGTATGGTAACCGTAAAAAGTTTTTTAAGAACGAAACAAATCCTGTCATATTATATTAACAATATTTACCACTATTTCGACCTTAATCAAATTGTATACTTCTAATGTATATATACAGGCAGCTAATAACGGTATAAATATATATGTGCGTGTATATATAAAGGTACTAACGTATTTCGACTCCGACGGTGTTCGAGGCACAGTCCAAATGGAACAGCGTTACAAAATGGACCCAACTATTGTAAAAATTCAACTACAAGGTCAGCATATTTACTGATATGGTGAACTTCATAGAGCTTCGTGTGGGCCTTCGGTGTATTGCACCCCTTGCTATTTTGAAACTGCCACATAGTACAGTTACGGCTAGCGAGCTTTTTCGTTTTTTTATGCTACCATGCAATAATAATAATGGGTCCTGGATGACGGTACCCACTAATGAAGGTAGTAGCAGTAGTGATAATGATTACAAGTGAGTATCGTGTTATAATGGATATAATTTGATCGTTCTTGTGAGGCACCTAAAGCAGATAGAATCCATTTCATATGACACCTGTATAATACGACCACACCACAGGTTTTTATGTAAGTCGACAAACAAATGTGCTTCTCTATCGAATATACTTTTTTAGGTCTACGAGGTCGAGGTGGTGCGTACCACGTACACGAGTTTCCAGTCGCTGCTTCTCGTCTCGGATCAGGTTCCGAACGATGCTCCATTGCCGCTGTAGGCGACAACTTCAATCCGTACAATGTCGATAGAAATAAAAGCCCGCTTCCTGGTTTCGGTACGCACTATCTCAGCGAACATTCTTGCTGTTAATTGTATTGACAGGTTGTATCGACTAATTGGAGCATACCACAAACCATTATAAACTATTCTCTCTCGGTGCTTCTCTGTGCGTATATACATAGGTACAAATGACGAATACCAGGTGGGTGACCTATCTGGCAAGCACGGATTTCTCGTACAAGGCTCGAGAGGAGACTCACACGAGGCAATGTATGTCGACTTCAATCTGCCGCTCTTCGGAACAAATTCTGTCGTAGGCAGATCACTCGTCATCCATCAGGTAGCCTACAAAACGTTTTCGATAAGGGCATGTTTCCCTTTGTTTGTTCCATGCAATCCAACAGTTTGACATAACTGTTCTTTGTTCAGACTTATTCCTCTGGCTAGTGTTGTGTCCCTACGATTAGCGTAGGAACAGAGAAAACTAGGAAAAGGGAGAAAGAGAGGATAGCGTTACAAGAGCGCGAACATATCGATCACGTTTCGTTCTCTATTTGATATCTATTTTATTTAGGTGGATGGAACCCGATGGATTTGTTCATCGATCACTTATCCCTCAGAGACGGTAACCGCCGTTGCGACATTCTTTTACCCTATCGTAGGCAGGGTCATCTTTAGACAAGAGGTAATTACCGCTCGTACGCTAGACATATATGTATATATATATATATATAAATATAAAAAAAAATGCTACAAACAATATTTGTCACATGGCGTGGATCCCGAAGGAGCAAGAAAGAAGTTGTATCTATTATGTGGTTTTATATGGGATTATGCTGGAAGTCGTATAGTGAAATAACCAACATTGAATTTGCGACTAGAATTCAACCGAAACTGATTAAGCGTCATTCTCGAAGAAGCAGCTTCCAAATTATTCAGTACTATCTAACATATTGTATATTTCTTATCTACAGATAAATAATCCATGGGCAGAAACCACTGTGCTGGCAGAGCTAACCTATGCTGACGGCACGGCGAATAGCACAGAAGGCCACCGCTTCGATATTCACTTAGATCCGCCAGGCAGAGATTTCTACAACTGGACAAAGCGGTTTGTTAATTTATAAAATTAATCCTATATATTCTACCGAATCTCAAAAAGGCTATAGGAAATTTAGAAACTAATAAAGATTATGGCGGATAATGGCTTAATTGATACATTCTATTAGCTCCCGTAAGCGTACCTATATAGGTTGGTAGAAAATTATACGGTTTGTAGACGAAAATAAGCAGATCCTATGGTACAGGAACTGGGTTAGTTTCTTTCTTTGAGTAGGAAGTCTAAGCCGACCTTTGAGTATCCGAAAAGGGTAAAACGAAAACGAATCTTGCATCATAGGAGGCACAAATAAGCTTTTGGAGCTACAATGCGTATACATCACAAGACACCCTGTATGATAGGTACTTGGAATTTATTATTACTATTACTATATCACGGTTGCTACATACAATATTTGTAATGCCCTTTTTGCAGATGTGAAAGTGCTGGGAAGGACTATAATCCCTTCGATGTCGGAGTTCGGAAGCAGCGCGAAAAGGTCAATTGGCGCATGTGTAACCACAGACCATTGTTGGCACTGCCATTCAGCTATATATATAATTGATTTTTGTGATTTCGTTAAATGAAGAAATAGGTGCGATAGGAAAAATAGGAAGCGATACCAGGCTGGTAAAGTTAGTAATACAATGATAATAAGTTTTATGTAATACAATGAAAGCTCGCGAATTTAGGTTAATCAAGAGGAACCGAAATAATAGAGATAACTTCAATATACAGGTATGTCATCCAGGCAATGCGCTACGTTGTGCTGTCGGCGACCTCACTTCCAAAGCGGGTATTCGAATTTCAGTTGCCGCCAAGCGTGGAGCCATTCTTAACAAATTCTACTACACAGACGTAAACTTGCCCTTGTCTGGGCCTCACAGTGTTCTGCATCGGTAAGCGATTTTTTAGCAAAATTTTTTTTTGTAATTGTTTCGACAAACATTCGGTTGCAGAATGTATGTGGGCCTCACAAAACTCCAGTGAGTCCAGCCGTTAAACTACAAACTCAAGTCAAGCTTGATGTGAAACTTATACTTACTTGAAAATTGACAGTAAAACGTCACTAAGTTAGACAACAATCTTCAATGCCATAGTGATTCCACGCGTTATTTCCAATTAGAACAATTCGATCGAGATGACTGAGAAGTAGTTATTGTAAAAGTGCAACATTTTACATATTGTCTCTTAACATATGTATATAATACATTGCACATAGATCCTTGGTAGTTCATGATGATCATGCACCACCACATAGAGGTGATCGGCTCGCATGCACTACGATTATGCCTACACATCCATTGATAGCAGCCGTTCGTCGTTGGTCGTATGGGGCCGGTATTCCGTCGAATGTGTCTGGTACAATTGTCTTCAAGCAGGAGTCCGAATTTGATCTTGCCGAGGTAAGGAACAAAACCGACAGAATTAAGTACCCAAACTTATACCAGAGGACCCTTGTTTACGTTTAGAATATTATTATTATAAAAAAAAAATACCGAGCCTAGCTTATGTCATCTTGTACTTAGTCAGTCTGCCCTGTTGTTGATTACCAAATAAATGATCATTTTCAGATTTTAAGCTATTTTTTTTTCTATATTTTAGGTTCACGTGGACCTGACCGGACTCGAGCGCTATGCTTCTGGTTATCACATCCATCAGTTGCCTGTACCAATGGAGAAATGTACGTACAACTATTTTTTGTTTTTCAGTATCTGCTATCGAGCCGATGATTGCGTTATGAAGAGCTTTGCCTGGTTTAAATTGAATCGCCTATATTAGTCTAAAGCAAAAGCTAATGCCTGCAGATAGTTTTATCTATGTGCGTCATATACTAGTCGAGCATGGCACGTTATGAACAATACCGTCAGTCGGAATCTTAAAAACGGAACGCAAGCCAATACTTCGATCAATTGCAGCGTTTCCATGCAACGATGATTCTGTCCGAGGTCACTTCAATCCGTATGGGCTTGATACCGGCTTCGTACCCGCTCCTGCAGTTGGTTCCGTCGATCAATACGAGGTATAGTACATATAGCCAGAAAGTCGTCAAATGCTAAATTTTATTCCACGATCTTAACTTATTCGCGCAACTCCCATTGCTTTCCCCACAAGTGCGTTAATAATAACCCGTAAAGCTAAACATTTGCTATTTGTGTGCTTGATCGTATATGCAGAAACAAAGTATCTAGTATTTGTTATCAAAATAGCGTTTATGTATATATATATATATAGAGTTGTTAGACTTTATCTTTACAGTGATTGGTCTACTGACTATTAAATAGCCGTAATAATATCTTTGCCAACTTGTTTTAGGTGGGAGATTTGTCAGGCAAATATGGCACGCTTGACGACAAGGATATTGAGCAGAGTTCCCTCCTTGATAGTAATCTCCAGCTCTACGGAAGGTATATCTGGAAATACCTACAAACATCGTAACTGATTCAAACGACACTAGATTAACTAATCACCATTATCGTAACAAACAAAATCTACTTAACCTTCCTAACGCAGAGAACCGATTCCGACGAAAGTCCTTCACTAACGTCGAGTTTGTTTACATCTAATGGTCAGATAAGTCGTGTTAGCGTTTGCGGTTTATCGTTATCACTGTTTTTATCCATGCATATAGGAACTCAGTGATTGGCCGCTCCGTGGTCATTCACTTAAGAGAACGTAACCAGCGTTGGGCGTGCGGGACTATTCTACCGGAAATTCGCCGTGAAGATGGTCGAGAACTTATTGCTGTCGCTAGCTTCGACGATCCCAAAGTAAATAATCTTCATCGAAGAAATCTTTCCAAATCTTCTCTCTATGCATGCATTTTTTAGCTACAGCTTCGTAGGATACTAATGATAGTACTATTTTTTGCAGCAAAAGTAACACGAGTATAATAGAAAGATGTGCAACTAGGACAAGCTTACAATTATTACCCACCCCTTATTACACACATACTATTATTTCAGCCAAGGCGTTAGCTTTGTACAAACTCTGTTAACGTCGACGGTAAACGCCGATGCAAAACACATACTCGACGGTTACTAGCAAGCGTTCATATGTTCCATGTAGATTTTACCTAACCTGTTTTAAACGATATGAACGTTGACTCTAATTTGCAGAGCGCTGTTCAGGGTTTCGTGCGACTTCGACAGCTCGAATACAAGGATGGCTCGAGCAGCGAAACGTTCATCGAAGTTGACCTTAGGTTAACTGATTGAGCCTATACGATAGTAATATGTGGATAGTCTTTGCATTTTAATTATATCTATTTTGTGGGATATTTTTGTTTGGTCATCGTAAGCTGAACCTGAGTAAATTTATGAACAACTGAGTAACTGGATATTTCGTTTGATGATTCGGCACTTTTGCATCCCAGGTATCCTGGAAAATATGACAGAAACCTTACACGTGGCCACGAGTGGGCTGTGTACGTCAACCAGGTTGGACATGACGCCGTTGAACCCAATGAAAATGTGCGATGCATCGCTGCTGGATATAGGTAATTAACGTCGTTATCAGTAAAGGAAATTCACGTAAGTTCTCCTTGCGTATGCCTGAAGCCAACGTATAGCCAACTATGATGAACACTCTATTTGTTTAATAACTATGATTTCTTGAAATGAACTTTCTTTAAAAGAAAATAATGCTTTGAAATGACTATGTACTTTTTCTTTTAGGTGGAACCCTTATCTAGCGATTGCTTCATCGGACGGTTACAAAGCCGATTGTAATCCATCAAACCCTTTACGTTGCGAAATGGGGGATTTGACGGGGAAACATGGCCACCTAGAAGTTGGCCAAGGACGACGGGCTGTTTTTATCGATCCCAACCTGCCACTTGTTGGAAACTATTCGGGTACGCTGAACTCCCGCGAAGGATTTTAACGGCCCGTTGGGCTGCAAACGCAAATGCCGCTCCACGAGTCGTTATTCGAATGAGCAATAATGGGCAAATCAATGGACAACCTTGTTTTGCGTTTTTCTCAGTCATCTGAGTCTAATGAAATTGTCAGCTATGTTAAGTGACAAATCCTTAACTGAAATAATTGGTTTCCTTTACAACAATGGCGTCAACCATTTGTTTGAAATGCATGACTTTTTTTGACATTACTTATACCAGTAAGTAATAGGCCACCAAATTTGCTCAGATTTATTCTACACATATAATTTGCAAGGTTCATAGGAGCTCTTAATTAAGGTCGCAGTATTGGAATTTAGGATTGGAGTTTAGACATGCTACCAAACTGACTATAATAAATTTTTGCTTCTTGGTAGAAACTTTGTCAGGGAACAGTTTTGTGAGTCTTCAGCGAAATCATATTGATATTTATATATATATATATATCTACTGATAACATTGTCCGAATTGATTATTTCCACAGTCCTTGGTCGTTCGATAGTCATCTTTGGGAAAGAGGGCGCGGGCCAGAAACTTGGTTGCGCTAATCTTAAGCCAGATATCCACTTAATCCGTCATGTGAGCGTACGTAAATTTCCGGGTTTCACTTCAGGACAATTTATGTCGCACATGCGGGAACTTCTGAGCGCAACCGACTGGGTTATTCAGGTACATGAAAGGCAAAGTTTCGTAATATATTGCAACAAAACTTTTACTTTATATGCATAATGTTTTACCTCGCATTCTTGCTCTGTCTCTACTTTTTCATTTTTTTAATTTCCGTTTAATTATATACAGTCTGATCGGCAATCGGAGCGTGACATTCTCGGTGGACAATGTACGCAGATGACGGTACACTTCTTTGGATCGGAAGCTCATCGGTAGGTGGCTATATAGTGCAAACAAAATCAGAACGTTTCTAAACATTTCACTAAAATGGTCAGGCTCTTTAGAAGCCATATATATATATATATATATATATATATATATATATATATATATATAATAGCTTTATGTAAAAGCGCTTATGCTTAAAAGCAAGTAAATCCAACATGGCTTTGCTCGCAGTTCCGTCACCGACGAATCTGGACACAGTTTTTCCTTTGCCATTCCTGTTTGACTCGTCTACATCTTTTATGGCTGAATATTTTAGGTGGCACATCGAATTTGGCAATCTAATTGGACTCGGCAGTGTACGAAAGCAAACGCCGACAGGCTTAAAGCTTATTCGCACCTTTTATAAGCCATGCAAGACCCGTAAGTGAAACGAACGCCATCTCACTATTATATTGAGGTCGACATTTGTTTCTGATTCGACTGATTAAATGATGTATTTTTCGTACAAACACGCTGCCTAATACCATTACCCTTATGCTTTTCAGTCGAAGAGGAACTAAACGAGATCAACTCTGCTCAACGGCCTGTGGTGGATCAGGCCAAAGCCTGCTCTCTTGCCTTTGCGTTCATCAGTACCATTTTTACTTTGCTCTACACACGTTGATTCCTTTTTATCACCTTATCAAAAGCAGGAGCAGCCACAATATCGCAAGGCAATGTTCAATGTAAGGCTCGGGTCTGACTGACAAATCCATCCGCTAGTAGTCACCAGGCCGCCATTTTGCTACCATCCTTAACTTAGTACCCAGATGGCAACGTTTTTTTTTCGACCGCTGTAAAAACTATAGGTAAAAACATAAATAGGATTTTCTGGCTGCATTACATAATAGGGCTATGAACGGCCTTTGAGCTCTGAGGCAGTACTACAAGGGCTTGGCTCACAATGTTGCGCCGTGATGTCCTCAATGATGAAAACATTTCCGTCAATCACAATAGGAAAAGTGAGCAAAAATAAAGGCGTAAGCATACAGAATTATCCTAGAATGTGTATAGCGGTTGCCGTCGTACCTTAGCGATAGCTGGGTGACATATCCGAAAAAATACAACGAGAAACCTAATTAATCTCATATGTCTTAACAGCGGACTTGCCCCAAAAAAAAATGAACATTTAGTCACTTAGAAAGCGACAGCTCGTACAGTGAACCGGGGCGTACTTTGATTGTTAAGACAGAAGAAACGCACGTTACTTCAATTAACAATCATTATAGTATTTTAGAGAGTTATTTCTAAGTTGAAATCATGATCATAGCAGGTGAAGTAGCATGGTGACTATTTAACTGACAGTTAGATAATTTGTTATTGTGCTGATGCAGGTATGTTCTTAATTTTTCCTTTAAAAAAAAAAAGAAGAAAAAAAAATAAATATGGCAGGCTGAACCTTTTTTTTAGCGTTGTCAGGCTAGATGGAAAGCTGTCGTTGAAGATGATGATCCTCGCATTACGAGATGCACTGCATTTGAACAAACCTGAGAAAATCATGAAACGCCTTTCGTACAGCTAATGTTCATGTAATGCGAACTAGAAAGGATCAGAGATGGCAAAATAAATGGGAGGTTGACATAGAGGACATCATTATGACAACATAGAGGACTCATTCGGAATGATGACGCTATAAAAATCCAACTTCCGTAAAGTTCATTCTGACGATGCGTTTACCGACGAAAGTGTTTACTAATAATAACGCCGATAAAAAATCGTTACACGCACACCAACCTTTTCGGTTTATTTTCTGACTAGAATCGCTTTTGAACGCTTCGAATGCAATGAGTGAGAAACGCAAAATCGCTGTTGCGAGAGAAGTTTACTTGTAACGGAACGCGCCTCGTTAATAAGTTACGCCCCATTTTATGCAGTCATCAGTACCGTGTAGGGCAAAATTGATATAATAATTAACGTAACTGTTAATATCTTAGCTATAATGGTACGTCTACGGTCCCTTGATTTCCTAAGTACCCTATGATTTTCTAAGAACATATTTGGTTGACAAATGTTTTTGTCATAGTCATAATTGGAGCAATGGTATAATAATGATCGTTCGCTACTGTGATTAATTCGCTAGTAGTCAAAAAGCAGTTGTTGTTCCGATAGAGACAAGCATGCGACAATGGCGTCGACAATAGTTATAATGTAAATGGTAAAAGAGATTGCCTCAATGTGTCAAGTGCACAAGTGTTAGTTTTATCATTTTTTATCGTAAGGGTATCGCTAGCGTACCTTGCAGGCTAAATTAAATAGAAAATTTTGATGTTATCTATTGTAACACCTGATTGATTTAAGGTCTGGATAGTTTTTTTTTTTGCATAAAAGTATTAGCACACAGTGATTAGCAGGATCAAATCAAGCATAGTGATCAGATAGGCAGTGAAATGTGCAATCCATATGTGTATCTAGTAGGCTACCATAAACTTTATTGGTGGGATTTTTCCTTATTCCATTTGATGTAGAAGTGCCTGAATTACCTTCCTAGATTGAGAAAGTGTACATCTAAAAGTAACAGCGCCATTTCGTTTACGCAGTACCTGTAAATGTGCGTGTTGGGGGAGGTTTCCTATGGCGATTAATTTCTTTAGAGAAATTGCACACTTACAGTAATTATCGTAATGACCATAATGGAAGTTGTCTCTCAAGATGCCTCAAAAACTTGTGAAATATTTAATCTGATGTACATATAACCCATACAATAATAAATGAACACGTAGGTAGAAATAGTAATATAATGGAATATCTGACTATGATGATGATGATCAATAAACTTGTGCGATTGTCATTAAGTGAAATAAGCTTTCTTACTTTGTTGCGAAAAACGCCTAACTCTACAGTTACCTCCGGGTTTCCTCAAGGCGCAATATAAGTTAGTGAGCATTCTGCGGGGGGTTTATCTGCGGCTAATTAGGAAAATTAAAAGGGTTTTCGATCTTGGACGCTTGTTTACTATGCTATTTAATATAGCATGTAAGTTTACTGAACTTTGTATTACTGACACGTGCAGCTAAAGCTCACGAGCTGCTTTCAAGTGATGAATCTTTAACTGATACAGAATTTCCGGGTAGAAAGAGTAGAAGTAGCAGAAAAATTCAACTTTTTTCAGAGAACCAGGAAAAAGACATACTCGAAAACCTATGCAGCGAATACCATTTCAGCGAAATGGCTAAATCACTTCCCTTTTTTAGTCTAGTCTTCTGAAGATGCAGATACGCGCAGGTTTATTCTTTTTGAAACACGTAGTTAATCCACTCATTAATTAGTATTACACATATCACCACGATACTCGTCTTTGCATCGGTAGCAATTTCTAGTCGAACTCCACAGGCGGCCACCCCTACGTAGCTACCCTATGTTATTAAAATCAATCTAATTCACGATGTCTCAAGACTAAGACAGTGCAACAGGGTTTCTGTTTTTCTTCTTTTGGTAATTGGTGATCACGTAATATTTCTGTGCTTAAAAATCGCATAATTGGTTTAGTATTTAGGCGGATGCGAAATTAAATGAAATAGGAAATTGTAGCATTGCGAAGGTGCTACATAGGTGTATAATTCAAAAAGATTACTGTGTGAAGCGTAACACTCCGTAAGACAATGATAAGCAATCAGCGCTAATCGTGAAGAGTATTTTGGTATATATTCTGCTCGAAGGACGCTTCTTTGCCTTCCGATTCCTACTTTAGTAGATCCCAGGGTCTAACAAACTTCTAATTTTAGTATGCTATTCATATTTTCGCGAGAGCACGTATTCATTTCGGGTATATTTTTTGGAATAGTACAGTAAAAATGTAGCTTCTTAATAGATACATTTAGCAGGCCAACGTACATTAAAGCGGATCCATTAAATGCAAAAAAAATCGCGTCTTGATATACAGACTCTCATTTCAGCTTCAGAAAAAAAATGGAAGCTCCCATTTTTAGTATGCTATCTTTAAACACACTTTCAGTGATATTTAGCACTTTAGACGAACTGCTTCTACACTTGTATTAGGCTGTTCAGAGGCATTTAGCGGGTGCAAATCTTCAATAATACATTAGCAGACTAAATTTGGCGGAACAAATATTTACATAGAATCATTGGCTATAAACAACTATGAACTGACAGTTTCATCGGAAAATAACGAATTTTGAAGCAAAAAAAAACTCATATAGTAGTGAAAATTAACGCAACTTTAGATTAGTAACAAAGTTTCTGCTTTGCAACTGGTGAAAATAAAAGCCGAGAAAAGTTCTAGTGAAACAACAAACCTAGACCGCTGAAGTCAAATTGGGATATCGAACGAATCGATTACGCAGAAAGTGGCGTCAGTATATCAGAGAAACGGGTTAGCCTAATCTAAAGTAACTTCTTGGTTTAGTATAGAGTTCGTTTAAGCATTTATTGTGAAATTATGATAAAAACATTAGGGAGATAAAAACATAACATGGGCACTTTACAAATCATTTCCGGAATATACTCTAGAGGTATTTACATAACTATTGCTAGCAAAGAACTTGCTTTAACCATACCGTCGCTATAGACGAGAAGCTTTCATGATGAGCACGTGGATACTACCGTTTCAAAGGAATTTAATTAGAAAAAAAAACAATGAACTACAAAAAAAATATATAATTTCGATTAAGCGAAACAATTTTATAGGGAAGAAAGGAGTGCGTCTACACAGTATCAAGAAGAAACAGAAAAAGACTATTTTTATTAGTTCGAAGCTTTTCACGATGTATGTGGTTGCGGTATCGAATCTATCCTGCTATCTACAAAATTCACTAGTATTAATTCGTTGTGTAAGCACGGGCGGTTTTTGACGTTCCCTTTTTCTTTTCGCTTACCTCTTTACTACTGTATACTGATCAAGGGTGCTTCTCCCACCCATTAAGCCGCTGATTATCCACTTGGACATCTTGTAACTTCACTGATACGATTTATAACTTGAAGAATGTACTAGTTCAATCTGTAATTGGCGAAGAAGATAACCTACGAGTACTAATCCAATATCAAACATCTAGAATGGATGCAATCCTATTAAAAACTTCATATATATCTTATAAAAACTTTATAAAAATTATAAAAAGCAAAATACCTAAAGTGTACAAGAAAACACAGTTTCTTAATGATCCGTAACATCTTGCCTGGCGCTGGTTAACATACAGCTATAATCATGGTTTTCTGGACAGAATGCATAAGGGTGGCGAAAAATAGTCGCTCCGTGTCGGTGTGAATTAGAAAAAGAGATGCTTCTAGGCCCGACGTAAAAATGTTCATCTTAAAGAAAAACATGACTTGCATTTAGTCAACTGCAAAGGTCTTATGCACCTGCAAATGCGTGAGAAGAACAAACGGTCTAGTTGCGTCTGCTGAACAAAGTTTATATAACGGAAAGGATCCAATAGATAAGGTAAAGTCGCCGCTATTTGCGACAACGTCGGGCTATTTATTGTGAAGTTCGTTAAAGCTCCATTGCAAGATCCTCAGTGGGCGGTTCTTTTGCAGTTGTTGTGCTGACGGATTATACTTTCGAATACATAAAATTCGTAAAAGTATCATATATAAGATAGCAAAGGAGGCTTTGAAGACTGGCTAGACGAGTTCTGCAACGTCGAAGCTGAAGACCTTTAGCCAGAAGAAGAAGAAATCGGAAAAGGTCGTGGAAAGCAACGACGAATAATAAATGCATATATATATATATATATATATATATATATATAATGCATTAGATATTTTTTCAAATGTTGCGTTAAGAATATTTGCTGGTGGATTTTCAATCCATAGCGAATTCTATAAGGAGGAGCGGGGTTATATGGAGAAAGCCAATATTTTGTGGAAAAGAACCATACATGAATATATTTATTTTTTAAAACTCTCATTTAGTGAGACAACTAATTAGATTTCCTGTCGCAGTTTTATATCTCAGCGCTATTATTTTCTAGGAGAAGCTGTTTGCTCCTAGAGGAATAAAAAGGCTTACCTCTCTTACGCGATCTACTTAGGCTTATATAGGACAGCGTGTTGGAGCATTTTATGAGTGAGTGTGTTTTGACGATGAGTGAAATAGAATGGCCTTGTCTAAAAACTTAACAGATAAAGATTAACTAAATAAAACAAATTATCAAGTTTGTTGCGTAGTCTATTGACTGTTATTAGTATTTTAATTAGCCAATTAATTAATTACACGACGTATGGAAGCGTATTTCGAGCGCTGTCATATAGCTTACTACCATGCACTGGCAAAACTTAAAAAAATTGCAGAAGAATGTCCAAAGTAAATTTCTGGATGGCGCAGTACATTATCCTGTTAATGTTGCTCTTCAGGATAAGCATTCAGTAGAAGGTAAGGTACTTTACAATTTAAAATAAAGGATGAAAATGAAAGCCATAATATGAGTGATGTTTATTTTTTATTTATTTTTTTTAATTTTATTTTATACTTATATTACATTTAACTTTTTACTATCATTGTCTGTAAGCGTCGGAAAGTACTAAGCAGATGAATATGCACGCTAAAGTTTACTTCCTGCAAAAAAAAAAAACTGCTACATAGTAACAGCAATAACTCTCAATAATTTTATTAGAATATGCCAACAGAAATATGCGAGCATATATATCCTGGAAAAAAACCTGCTTGGTTTTTTAGCACATAGTGAGGAAATAATAAGATGTAAGAAAAAATGTCTGCCGGAAAGGCCCAAGGTTTATATACTAGTGAACTCGTATATTCTTATCCGACAAAACTTATTTTGAGGTTCGCACGCGGCTCACTAAGCAATCACAGTTTGATTCGAGACTTGTCTTCTTCTTTACGGATAATGGGGCTAAAAACGATTCCAACCGATAGATATCTTAATTCAAGCAACCGCTTCGAAGGTTTTCAAATTTATTACAACCTGCGAAACTCCAGAACGTATTTTACTACGCATTACTAGTGCCTTTTTAAATTTACAAAGTAACAGTTATGTAATGAAAATGTTTCGAAACAATTATTATTAATCATTGGCCAAACTGTTAAAAATATTAGATACGTTGAAGAACATTAAAAAAAAAGTAGAACTTCTATTTAAGAGATCTCTTCAGTAAAATATGTTTCAGGGGACTCTTTCCAAAAATATATGTTGAAAAATTAAAAACAATAACAAAGAATTAATAACAAATCGAGAACGTAATGATAGATGAACTTTAGAATTACTGATGATTTATGCTTTCGTGTTTTTTTTTTTATCTCAAACTATACCGTTGTTGAGGTAAATACGACTTTATAAACAGACCTTGTATTTATACATAGTGCAAAAACTCGATTATCTGGATCGTGCGTGCTACTGTTTGTCTAGCTAAATTTTAATAACAAGCAAGAATCCCTTCAGTTTTATGCAAACCGAACATACGATATATTAGTGGATGTGAAATAGCCCTAGCTAACAGAATGTCGCCAAAACCATTGTCGTCAGGAGTACATATGTGCACCGAAATAAAGGACAATCACCTTTGTGAATGATAGACTAAATTTCTATAGTAATCATCTAACATCTTCACACATCGTACACCCAAAGGACATATCAAGAGCTCTATTGTCCAACCGTCAACCATCGTGTCGTACCTCAAAAAGCCACCCTTTTCAGCTTAGATGTCAGCAGGAATCGTGCGACAAATTAAAGCTCCTTCCGTAGCTGTCCACTTTTATGCAATAGACCATTATTCCTCGATTTCTCGGGCTCGTTAAGTAATAGAAAGACGCAGTCCGGCTCTATTCGCAGTTTCGACAGATTAGTGGCTTACACACACATCTAAGATGAGAACCCTCAGAGCCCATCGTCGTCAATTAGAAAAGAAACAAAGTCTGTCTATTCCCGGGTTCGAACCTGAATCACAATGTGTCGTTGTAACACACGTAACTCGCTACGCTACCATAGTGACGCCTGATGTGCGGACACCAATCCTCGGAATATTCTCGTTTGTGGCACTTATTCGAACTGGGCTATAGGAGACAAACAAATACTTAACCGGAAGTAAATCGTGTGAGGAATTTGGCCGAACAATCACTAAGACAAAGCTAAAAATGGACCAAATTATTGTTTCAGACAATCACCAAATTAACATTATGTGACATTTTGGCTACGCAAAAAACAAACACTGCCAAGAAACCTGTCGCCATCGAGAATCTGGATTGTGCACGATTGAACGCATCTAAATCGCACGAACAGAAAAGTCTCACTCCGAATAAAGGTCCCTTATATCTGTTAAATGTATAAATTAACAGCGAGATACGTAACTAATAGTCAGCGCTTAACGTATTTTCCTCCCCGGCAATTTTGGTTGGAAAAAAAAGCTCATCTTGAATAAATGAATTCGTGAGATCGAATACTAATTCAATTGACAAGCTGACATGTACTATATCCATATAGAGGTTTGTTCATAACGGTTAACCCCACAAAATTTCAGCTGTTTAACGTTCATCAATTCGCTAACGTTTCATATGCTGATGGCCCATATCTCATAGCGATTCCTATTGTGAATTACAATCGTATCTTTCTTTCAGCTTGAAGATAGATAAGAGAACCTGTGCGCTTTAATATGTTTTTGCTTTTGAATACTGCATAGTGAAATACGTACAACGCAGTGGCAGTACCCCTTGAAAATGTCATGGCGCCACTCTGAAGATTTGCCTAAGCATCTGACATGCCACAGCTACCGAGCATGTCTGCCAAGTCCGTCTTCCAGTTTATAATAAGGCAGTCGAAAGAAAATGCTTGGCAACGGATCTCTATCCGATAACGATTCTGCTTTATGGGCATATCAAGTTTAATTGAGTAAAACAGATGCTATCGTCTCGCCAGATGAAATGGGCCACTCTTCTTCAGATTCTCTGAAATGTTTTAGAACCCATTGCCTAGTCCTAAAATGACTCGACACAATCTAATAGCTACAATATGCTTTCTCGCACCGCAATAGTAGCAGTAGTTGCAATATACTTCACGGTCAGATTTTATTACAATCAGAACAACAAACGCCGAAATGGCTGAGTATACATGAAGTGCTTACTGGCCTTTCAGCAAAACCCACTCTAATTAAAAAAGTTACACTTATATAGCTATTTAAATATTCTGTGTATATCCTAGATCCAAGAAGACGCTGGCAATGTGCAAAGGTATAATCTTCTTTAATTTTACACAAATTATATGAACAAATCATTTAACGTAGAGCTTTTTTTCATTATTAATGAAGATAAGCCTCAGGTAATGTACGATATAATGAAGTATTGCTTTGTACAACTAAGACACAAGGGTTTATCGCTGGAACTGCAGATATTCTAGGGTTGTCCTGTTAACATTCTGTGTATCCGTGGCACATATCCCAACACATATTATCTATGTAAAATTTTGAAGTCAGAAAATTTCGGACCTTCTTAATAAGTACGTAGGCTTGGCACACGCGACACATCTCGCAACAAATTTCAGACCACATTTGTCGAATCCATATACTGGAAATGGTATATAACCGAAAATAATTAAATAATACAATTTAATACTGTTAGATATATAAAGTAATCTACGCTTTTAATCCCGCATCAACATATTAAATTATATATCAACATTACTGTTTATTTAATTATGTAGATATAAACTGGAATAGTATACTTGTATATATCGCTACGTTATGTGTATTTTTCAGTGTGAAATACACCTCAGAGCCATTGTGTCTATGGACGAATATCTCTCTGTCAGAAACGAGAATATACTTAGTCTGAAGATAGCTCAGATAGGAGAAGGGATACTTCAGAATCTTTCCTATTACCCTCACATCATTGAAGGAAAGGGAAATGCGTCCGATCTCGCTTCGGAGCGAGACTTGTGAGTGCTGTCGCGCGTTAGAGTTGAATCAGAGGTGGACGGGGGTCTACGTCAATTGGCATCTATATGGCGCTAAGGTGTGCTCTACTCTGTGGATTTCGACCAAAGTCGTTATGCGTTCATATTTTCTAGTATATAACACGATAAAGTGGTTCACAAATACATACGAAGTCGATTCGACACCTTTGAATGATTAGAATATCTATGAATGTGCTATCAGATATGAGGAATTGACATAAACACGTGTTTCCTGTTGTCCTCGATGCTTCAGTGATGCACAGATTAGACAGTGTTGACAGGCTAACTGGATTAAGATTTTTTTTTTAGTTTAAATACATTGTATCCGTTGTAGTGAATAAGGTGAACGTGAATGACGATTAAATAAGACGATTATTATTATTGTACGTGTATTTGTGCATGTATAGGGCTCAATTGTAGATCACAGGGAAAATGGTTGCTCCAGATGCGGTACTGGCAAGGGGCCAAGACGAGCGACAAAGGTTATCCCTGCAGGATATTACAATTTCGGGAGCCACTAAATCGATCTGTTCGCAGCAGTCATCCTGCTGTGGAGAAAACCACTGCAAGCCATCGCACTTGCGAATATATCTCCTTGTGGCCGTGCTATACGGGCTGTTTGCAATTGACCTCTATATAAGCCACATAGCGAAATCTACTGATCACGAACTTCTGCTGCTCGAAAGGAACGATATATCTCCATATACTTTCAGTAGCCGTCGGTTTCGCGCCGTCGAACGAAACGGCCGCGTGGGCAACAGTGTGGTAGATGACTTTGAAGGATTGGAATCGTCTACCGAAAAGGTTGTTGAAGCATTTCAAAAACAGCGATTTATAAGCGCCGGGCCTCGGCACGGGCCGAATTCTGCTGAGCCCAGTGATGTCAACACGCCTGGTCGACATGGTAAAACTGCTAAAGATGACAGTGAAGGTGGGTTTTCGATAGAGGAGAGGCGTCATCGAAACCGACGCAGCCCAGAGACGCGCCAACGTCGTAGGAAGTTGCATTTTGCTGATGCCACCGCTGGTTTTGCCGCTTCTACGACGGCTGGCAACGATCAGATAGAAATTAATCTTCAACAAACACGAAGAGAATCAGCCACAGAAGCATCGATGTCGGCGTCTGATTATGGCGACACGGCAAACACTAACGGAGGCAAGGAAAACATAGTGGACAGTAAAAATGACGATGTTGACGATGATGACGACGACGACGACCTGATGAGTGTTTGGCCCATCGACAGCAACAACCACAAAATCAGGATGTCGGTGAGTTTTCAAGGAGACGCCAATTCTTTAAAAAATTTTTATACGAATAAGACATAAAACAACACAAATGACAAGCCACAGCGATGCGTATTTTTCTTTCCATCGTCGTCTCTATTATATGGCAAAAGTTGCCGCAACTTAATTCAGTTAGTCTTCTTCTTATAATAATAATAATTAGTTATGTAACAACTGTATGTAACAACAAATGTAACAAACATATTCGAAAATTGTCGCCAGTGGTACAACTATGCTCGTACGGGTAGGCCTCATTCTATAACTAACACCTTATCTTAGGGTACTTCACGTAATCCTCTTTTCTTATTTACTCAATATCATTAGACAATGAGAAATTAATTATGATGGGTGTGCAATAGGATTCAAACAGATTCAATTTGGCTTAGTAATCCCATTGCTTTCACCGCAATAAAAAGGAAAGCTAAAGTCAAGGGTTTCGTACTATTATACGGATGCGCAGGCATCTGTAATTGCACCGGAAATTTTGCTCATGAACAATACTCTATTGTGTCGTGCTCCAATTATAACCCTTTTTACTTTACCGTATAGCGAAAGTTTTCCACCCAGGCTTTCCATCTGCACAAAGCTTTCCCCCAATTAAGAAATATTTTGAGCACCTTCACAAAAACTTGAACCTTTAATGATAGACAGAAGAATGGCTAAATGGGGTCCTGTACGTCCCAAGTCGAGCTGATATTCGGCACACTAAATTTAAAGACGTAACGCTTATTTTTGTAATGGACAACGTTTCGCAGTGAAAGGGATGAAAACTCCGAGGTCAAATTGCGTCTGGACGTGCCCAGTGACTTTTTGTATAGCTAGCCAGAATGCGTTCAGAATACCTACAATCACTGGCGCCAGAAAATAGCTGCATGGCCTGAAAAATATCATCCAATGAAAATGGGCTATATCGCTCCAAATGAATAGCACGAAAAACTATCTGTAAATAGCTGCAGCTATCTGTAAATAAAAAAGCGTATATCTACTTAAACCGGTCGAAGTAATATGAACGTTTTTATTTCGCTTCCCTATACTGAGCCAGTGCCGGCTCCGTACTAAAATTTCTATTCAAGCAACATTACATATATGTAGATATTTTTTATGGTGTGCACGTTTTGGAATTTTAATTGTGGCAGAAGCTCTCAAGGCGTTTGACAATATTTTTAAAAATGGCGATGTTAGAAAAATCATTGGTAGTACACTATACCTGAAAACGTACCAATATTTTTCGAAAATGTACCTATTCTCTATAACTATAATTAGTAGTTTTTTTTGGTCGTTCCCGAATTCTACTTGACTCTGTAGTCAAGTTAGACAATTTATCGAACATTTACCCCGCTGGCAATCGATGTTTGTTTTGGAATAAGCTCTATGCATGATACCCTAACGTTATAGAACAAACTGTATGAAATAAGATACAAAAGGGAATACTCACATATATATTTACAAGTTTCGTTCGTTTACTTCATCGTTATCTTTTTACGACTTCCCTACATCTATCGTTGTTGCTATCAGCGTACTTATCCTATTATTATTCATTGGAATATCACCCCCCGTATGCCGGTATTATCCGGCGTAACTACACATAAAATCTGGCCGAAACGCCACCCAGCATCCACTGCCTTTACCGGCACTACCATATCTATTTTGAAAGAAAGTACTTCCAACACATATTAGCTTGACCGGAAAACTTTACAGTAGTATGATACCGTTCTCTAAAGTAATGATGTTTTCACTATTAATAGGCCACAGGAACGTTTTTCTCACACGAGGTCTTCTCGCCAATGGCGCCAAGCGAGTATTATAGGGTTATGGGCAACCATATCATCTCTAAACTACTTTTTAAGGTTCTCATCGCTATGAGAGCCAGAGATGATCCGCCATGGACGATATGCTCGCGTTTTGTGCAGTCTAAAGTTGATTGAAGATTGAATGTAGCCGCATAGACAGACGAGTTTTTACAAAAGATATTTCATATCTTAAACAACAGTTGACTGCTTCGACGTTTAACGGAATGAGCGTTACGTTTGCGCAAAGTGCGATATTGAAGGTGAAGCACCAGATAAGGAACGAAATACGTATCACTCTTCTCGTTTAACTAAAACATTATTTATTCATTTAAAATATTTTTCAACTTCGAAGAACGGAAGGCGTCTAGAGAGTCATCAGCGATGTCCGAATAGTAAGCCATTAGGCAAGTGTACTTGCCTAAAAGTGTCCGCTTCTGTTGATTTTCTGATGAGCAAACCTTTTTCTTTTTTAGTATGATTTAATAGTAGCACCTGACGTATAGGTTTACGTTACACGAGTCTTAGCTTGGGTACTGTGTGAAGTGACTTAAATAAAATTAGGTCGTTACAAGCAGGTTATATTATAGCTGGAGTCATCAGCGGTGGTTTTAAAATCGCGATTTGGTCTTTACCGCTTCTTTACTAGCGGGTCCATAGCTCATATTTAAGACGGAAGTAAAAAATATTGAAAAAGTCGCTTATAGCGTAGTTATGTATATTCAGACCGCTTTTGCGTGAACACGAATAAACAAAGCATAATACAGCCCCCGAGTGCCACCGTATGTGTTGCCCCTTTTAGAAAAACGGTTTCTTCTTTTATAGAATTATGTCCGTTCCTCTTCGAAGTCTGAAGCCCTTTGCGAACAATCGTCCGCTTTTTCTGAAAGCTCGAAATTTTCAGACCTTTACCATGCTCGAGCATTCAGCTTTAGCGAAGCCTTAAAGTAGATCTCTAGGTATCCAGTTCCCCATCCATTTAACGTTAATGTGATCTAACCTGGCGCACGGTCGACTAAGGCTTTTCCTGCAGACAGTTTTTGTTTGCTTTTTGTAGTCGCTGTTTGTTAAGTCTTAGAAATTGGCCATTTCAAGACCAGCTCGGCGTATTATATAGCATACGTTATTACGGTACTATATATACATACGTTGTAAAACACGTAACCGGTAGTAGCCGCTACAGCTTTTAGTGGTAGCAGTTTAGTTTGGAACATGGCTTTATTCATATTTTCTCATTTTTTGAGAGCCTTCGTTTTCGCTGGTCTATTTTGCTTCATTGCGTCTAAAAATTTTGGTAAGCTACATCAATCGTGTGCTCCTGTCTCTACTTTACTCTATGCACTTGAGGTTTTGGCCGAAGTAAAAATTGAATATTGTCTGAACTTTAACAGCTTTCAATCAATCAATTCTCGTCGTTTTAGGAATTAAATTTCTCAAAAAGTTACTTGTGCTGTTTTCTACATTTGTTGAAACTAGACGACATTATATACGTTCCTACGAAAACAGCTCTTTGTTGATGTTCGCTGTCGCCTATGTTATGACGATTTTATCGATGCGACATATTCTTCTGGTGATACATAAAAACGCTAAGTTCAGTAAAGGAGTGCATTTAGAGTCCAATTGGTTGACCTAAGTGTTTCGAGTCTTCTGTCCAGCAGAGCCGTTAGACGCTGCATCAGACATCTGGCTTCCACCACGAAACGAATCGTGTGTCCGCGCATGGATTCGATCCTAGGCCACCACGTGCTTCTACAGTAAGCAGCTAAATACGCTACCCACGAAGCTATTACGAATACCCGATTGTTCGCCTCAGTAGATTCGAATCCGTGTATGACTGTCGCCTTTGAAAGGCGACGAAATCAATATGACAAATAGACCAAAGCAAAAGTATCATTAGGGAATCGACTGTCTTTACTATAAGATAAAAATAGCTATCAAAATTCAAAAGCTGCTGGTACTTTTGCTAGTTCGGTCTGTAACAGTCAGTCGAACGTTGCGAGAACTCATTGTTAGAAAACAGAGGAATCTTTCGTAGAAGGATTTCTGCTTAAATGTTGATCCTAATTTTTCGCGCTGAATCTGAGCGCAACATTCAGTCGAGCGTTCTTTCTTTCAATCTAGCTAACCAGTAATAACGCGGATAAAGACTGATTGTTGGTATCGAAACGTAAGTCCTAAGAAGCAGGTGGCAAGCTCGCGAACCTGTTTATTCGTATTTGACGCAGAATAGGAGTTTAAAGGATCAATCCAATCAGGACCTTTGGTGAAATTGTGCCAGTGGTTTAATTAAATAGCTTTTCAAATGTACGCTCCTAAGCTTTTTGCTTTAACGTTATAGGGGTACAAATTGTAAGAAAGGAATATAGTTTCCGAGAAAACAGCGACGTGCTTAACAAGACGCCTACACCGAGGGGTTTAGTTGCCGAAAAAGTATCAATCGTTACAAAACCAAATTGAGGCAAATACTTCTTATATTCGGAAATATTATCTAACTAAATATGTGTCATTCTGATCGATTATCTTGTGTAATTTTTCTGATAGCATCGCGATTCAATCACTGTAGAACTGCGGATCCTGAGGGAAAAATTGATTTTTGCTTTTCTTCCTTCTATTCAACATAGATAATCATTAGGGTAGTTCTACAAAAACCGAGACAGATGATAGCCTGACGGCACAAAATCCAGGGTATACGGAAGACGAATGAAAATTGTTCTGAGTTCTCTCAGTTATTGTCGTGTATCTAAAGAAATATGTAGCTTGCAGTTCCTGTGATGGAAGACGACGCATTTTCCGTCTACGAACTCCTATCGATTTTTTCAATGGCTCATTGTAATCTCGTTAGTTCTTTACTGCATAGGTCTGAACCAATCGTTTTGCCTGGCGGTAACAACCCATAATGTGCATTTCCTTTGCAGTGACGATTTGATCCTTAATGAAAAAGCATTAGTTTCGTTGACGATAGTCTGAGCTTTGCCACAAATGTTCCAAGGCGCGTTTTCATTTTTACACTATTGTCGTATGTGATCCTCTTTTAATTGCCCATTATCAAGCGCATGATTCTGTAGTATTTCTGCAGAGCTTCGCAGATGAGGATGCTACTGAGCAAATTCTCTTGCGTTAATTCACATGGCCCTCAAACGTCGAGCTTCTTTTCTAGTCAGCTTTCTTCATACATTTCACAGCTGTTTCGTGGTAAAT